CTTAGTTGCGTCCTTTTATACTCAATTATAGTTTCATTTTGTCGGCAATCCTTTGCCAATTACAAAAGAGCGAAAAATCAATACGGCTGTCTTGAATAAGAAAATTAAGCAAAAAAAATGACATGAAAATTTTTTCTACGTCTTAAATCGGTCGATAAATCATCTTTTACTAGTACCGTCATTTATCTATACTAATATAATATTACTAGCGACTCTCCCTTGCTTCACTACCAAATTTCATCAAAATCTGTCCAGTGGTTTGCTCGTGATGCGTTCCCAGACAGACAGACGGACAAAAGTTCAAAAAACTATAGATTCAGCCTCTGTATCGATAATAATGACTATTTCAATAAGATCTTCCAAAAAATATTTTATGTAAGTACAGATTCGACTTAGAATTTCATTATATGTAGTTATATAAAGAGGTGAAGTTTGTAAAGGATGTACTTAGGAGGTAACTTTTAAACTACTGAGCTACCGAAGCTTTTTGCCAAAACCAGAAAAAAATACTTGCCGCTGCTTTTCGGAGTACGCTGCCTAAACGGTTTGAAATAAAGCAATATAGTGAATGGCAAAAAGACACAGAGCGAAATGCGGTAAATCTGTAGTAAAGTATATTTTCATTTTAAGCATATCAAAACATATTGTATCTAACTAAAAATGAGTTAATTATTTTTCAATCGTCACTATACAATTTCCCATTCAATATGTGATATCCACTTGGTTTCAAAACATATTGAAAGAATATTTTTTCTCAATTACTCGATAATATGTTCTAGTTGAAAGTGTTAAGCGCTATGCGGAGCACAAAAAGTCGAATGGACAGAGGGCGCGACGAATTGGCGTGATTCAGCGTTCGCTCGCTGATTGAACCTACTACTGCACTCTACAGTTTGTTCGGAAATGTTTAATAATAATAATGATTTTTTATATAAAAAGGTATACCAATATTATATATTTTTCATATTACACTAGTGGCTCACCACCGGCTACGTTTAGCGTTTAGGAAAACAAAAATAAACCTATCCCACGGCAATCTTACAATTTTCCGGGATAAAAGTATTATTACAGACTATTTTTTATCTATCTCTGTGCCAAATTTCATCTAGATCCGTTCAGTTGTCCTGGTGTGAGTAACAAACATCCATACGCACAAACTTTCACACAAAGAACCTATAGGTTTACATTGAGAATATTACATGAACATATATTTTGTTTATAGAAATTAGACATTTTGTAGGTTATTATATTTTTCTTGTTTAAATGTAGTAAGTAAATGAATATGTAAATTTTATATTGTAAAAAGTGCTAAAAAGTTTTTTGTATTTAGACTATAAACTCTCCAATTATTCAACTGATTTTAAAGATTTTTCATTAATATATATATATATATATATATATATATATATATATATATATATATATATATATTATATATATATATAATAATAACAAAAGATGATCAGTACTATTATAGTTTTCCTAATATACTTACTAGTTAATTATATAAAATGCTATATAAATAATACACTCGTAGTTCGTAAGTAGTTAAAATAAATATGTAGGATTATTAAATAGATATTTTTCCTACAATATTTTAAATCATCCTGTAAATTGTCTCGAAAACAACACTAGACAAAACGTATTAGATCCATATATTCTAAAAGGGCCGGCTATCATTTTAAATTCAAACAAGAATTTAATTATTATCCCAAAATAGCATTATTACAACAACGTAGAATATAGAATCGTTCGAAAAAGTTACCATTCATAGCTTATATTGGCAGCTTTGGTTAATCTTCTGTAATGATTACTACCTGTAATAGTTGCAGTCACCAATATTGATATTAGTTTTTTTGACAAATAACTATGTATCAAAAAGAAAGGCACGCTTGACCTAAATTGTTTTCTTAAAACGGTCTATATAATAACTTGTGTTTATTTTTTACTCGTTGCTTTTATCATAACCGCTGACTGTCTAAAAATGGTTCATTTTTTGTACATTTCACTACTTTCATGCCTTCTAAATATATTGTCAGCTGTTTTAACATTTAAAAATAACATTTTTAATATATAATATACATTTTTTTTTATATCTGCTTAAAATTTATGTTAATTGTGACACAAGTACATAATTAAAGGTATATTTATACATATGTATCATAAACATTAGAGATAAAATGTAAAATTTTATCAAAGTATGATGAAAATAATACTTAATTTACTTTATTTGTTCAAATGATTCTTTGGTAAGCTTTGCCAAACTAGAGATTACAAACATACATAAAAAGCGAAATATATTATATTACAGGTCGAATCGATAAGAAATAAGTAAGCTACACTCTATATAGATTCCATCTACATTGCTATTATATGTATCTTACAACACTGTCAAATATTGTGTAGTAAATGTTCATGGAGACCAATTAGAAGTAAATGCAGACCGTAATAAATAATTCGTAGTCCTTTGAAATTAACTTTTAACAAATACGTTCTGGAATTTTTCAAGAAGTTTTTTTTTTCAATAAAACCAATAAGAATAAATAAAATAAACTTATTTAGATACTAAATAATCCTATTTAAACGATATCCTTTCAACTATGTTTAAAGTCGTATGATGTACGAGTAGTATCATTTAGTCATGCCTTTTATTTTCCAATCAAAATAACTTAGACAACGGATGTGGACCTCCTTTTTGTTTTCTTAACATTTTTGAAGCTTTTTATGGGGAAGTTTTTGATGAAGTGTGAAAGGGTTCTTCAATTGAGTCAAAAGATTTTGTTTTTAATACAAAAGACAAAAAAATATTATGGATTTTCAAAAGCCACATATGGTATAAATATAATAAGTTAACTTATTATATTTATAACATATGGTACGTGCTTGTGATGATTAATTTGTAATAGTTTTAGTACGTGTTATACCTATTTTAGTTTTTTTTTGGTTGGGATTGTTTTTGATTAAGGAAGTATAATCTAAAAATATGATGTGTTTCCATTTAAAATCGATTTTAAATTAGTTAATAATAAAAAATCAAAGACATATTTACTTCGGAGATAGAGTAAGTAAACTCAGTAAAGTATATAGTTAAAAGGTACTTAGTATTAGTATACTTATACAAGTTCTACATAAGTAGGTAAAATGAAAAAATATTTCATATTTCTGCTAACATTATAAAATTTAAATATAGGTACCTACCTAACAAGTGGATAATGAATTTATACAATAATATATGTACAGTGACGTACATTTCAAAGTTAATTTATAACATTTTTATAGTCATATTATAATTCTTGCGACCATCAACATGACATATAAAATTTAAGTAACTCTGCGCCTGCGCCGGTATTTTGTTCGAGTCACGTTACGATAGTATCTTATTTTACGTAAGATTGTTCTTATGTATAATTTAAGTATTGTTGTTTAAATACGGAAGATCATTATAACCTTGATATTTATTATACCTTTTCTGTTTTCCTTTTAATTTCATATATGATAATTTATTAAAGAAATTGAGTTACACGAGATACGTTAAAAATGTGTATTGTACATACATACTAACAAATTATAATCAAATATAAATAAGAAATTATTAAAAATTATTTTCAGTAATATAACTTCAACGAATATTAACAAAGAGGTTACATTCTAAACTTTATTGTTAGGTTTTATTATTGTTAGATTTATTTTATTAAAATGAAAATATATGTCATTATTTAACTTTTTAACATACTCTAAGTGAACGTGAATGTCTTTCATCTATATTAATATTAAGAGTATAAGGAGGTAAAGTTTGTGAGTTTGTGACGTTGTAGGGGGTAATCTCTGGATCTGCTGAACCGATTTAGATGAAATTTAGTTTAGAAGATAGTTTTTTTTAGGGTGGGGTTTTTAGGGTGTGAAAATGGAGATGAAAGTTTGTATTTGGAAGCAAGCTAGAGACGAACCCGAGCGAAGCGAGGGTGAGTCGCTAGTCAGAAATATAAAAATAAGTGGATTATACTGTAAAATAATAATTAAACAATGCAATATTCGGTGGTACGGTACTCAATGCGCTAGTCAAAATAAAACATTTGAAATCACATATTTGAAAATCATTACAGCCATTAAATTATTACTTATAACATAAGCTAAAGAATTTGGTTTTTTTTTCAAACAACTTCAAAAAGGAGGATTTATTTATTATGGCTGTATATTTTTTTTGTAGGTTTAATGCAAGCGAAACCGCGGTTTCTGCTAGTAATTAATATATTACGAAGATTCCCCACAGATGAAAAAACTACAATACATAGGACAGTAATGATGCCTCGCCTAGAAATGATCAAATCAAAAACCAGCTACAATGTCGTAGAGATATAAATCTTAACATAATTTTGAAGGTAATTTCGCTAGCTCGTGCTCTTAAAACTTTATTGCGTGTAGTTAGTGTAGTTTCATTATATTTTTTTGTAGAACAATAATATGAAATAAGGTGTTTGTCAATTGCAAAGTAAATAATATATTACACTTCTATGAATCACTTTATCGAATGTAGAGCTTAGAAATTTAAATTGTAATTTAAAATAAATGACTTTGAAAATATATTTTTTGCTTTACTGTTTTGTAATTTTAGCCAAATTTAAAGGTTAAGAAAGATAAAGTAATAGCACGGACAACATCAATTTCGACATAGAACTAGCGTTTTGAAGCACGTTAAAAGAAGCTTATAAAATAAAATAGAGCAAAATTATTAAAATGCTTATTGGGTATTTATATAGAATTACAATCTACAGTCTACTTTTAATAAATTTATTATTTTACATATTTCATAAAACTTTTTTAAATGATGGTACTTGTTTTCAAATAGCTCTAGGTAGAGCTTACGTTTTAAATACCAAATATTATATAATATTAATTAATTTAATAGCTTGTTTTAATATTTTTGATAAAATTACTAAAAGTAAATTGTAGATAAGAATTAATTAAAAAAGAAAAAATATAAAGAAAAAAATGAAACGTGCCCAGGTTCGAGATGCGATTGGTTGGATGCTTGTTGCTGCCGACAGATATCCGGGCTTGTCTGTACGAACCAGGAATGCGTGAATGCCGTGTTCAGGCCCGGGTTGAGACCAGGCCCAGGACCCGGGAGACCCATCACACCCGGCAACCCGCCAGGCCTCTGGTGGTGGAAACCAGCAGACGCCACAGCGTAGTCCATTGCCACCGCTTGGTACGGCAACATTTTCACTATTTTCACCTTTCAATTAGTCCAAAATTTCCCGCGCTGTCACACGCATTTTTAAATGTCTATAATAAAATTCAAAGTTGTCTCATATCTAAACACACACTTGTTTATTCAAGTTCTGTCTCTATCCAAACATTTCGCCTTAGTTCGTTGTCACAAAAAATTCACAATTCGCGACACTGCGTTGTCGATCGTTTCAGGCACCGACGTTCTCAGTTCACAAACAAACCGTCCTATTCCCGATCGTTTACGGGGTTATTCATAGGAGAAAAGTCACGCACAGCCACCCACTTAATAAATATTCTGGGCATATATCCGTTTTTACGCAGACGTGACTGGCTGTGTACTGTCCGATTTTCACGTACGGAACGCGCGGCCGATTATCGAAAACAGTTGCATGCGTCCCCCTCCTTCGACCTCGGACGTGCAACTGAGGGCAAGCACGCGCCAAACACGACTCTATCACACTCGGCCTAGACACTTAGGCCCGCTCGGGGATCAGAGCGAGGTAGCGCTATACATATAAGCGAGACGAACATCGATCGGACGTCATCGCGAAGTTAAAAGCCTGCGTATTACACGGGCCGTAATAGGCGGTTACGTGATTGGGCGTGGCCTGGACTATTAAGTTGAATTGTCGCGCTCTGATTGGTTAAAATTGGTAGTAGTCGCCTACGTGATATGTTCAGGAATACGTTTATAGCCTGCGCTCATAGAATATAATAAGAGATGTAGGTTGGATTTGCGCCAGTTGTGAAGAGTTTTGTTGCGGTTTCGTTTGTCCGCGTGATGATTTTTAATTATTGGCATAGGAACCGTTAACAGGTTAGCGTGATGCTCCGATCATTGAATAATAAAGCGGGTTTCAATGAAGCGACAGTATGGCTCACTTGACACTTACCGATTATCGTACTCGCACGAAATACCAAGCATTGCACGAACACTTTTTATTCTATGACTAACATAGAATGTTAATATTAATTCTTAATAAAAATAAATGTATGATTATATAATATATGTAAAATGAATAAAAATGATATTTATCAATAAAATATAAATTTGTATGTAAATAGAAAAACTTTTTCATCATAGTAGATATATCTTGTTCGGTCTAAAGGAATCTCTTAATATTTTCAACTATTAATAAACACATCATCTAAAACGTGACTTGAAAATAGAAATTAGTCTGAGTAACAACTGACTGCGGGTGCTCTACGTGACAAAAAGCTAGATGAAAAAAATACTATCTTAGTATCTAGGTATCTTTAAGAAACGTTTTGAGCTCCAAGATTATTGTTAGAGCGAAAAAAATTGATTGATTTTTTGTTATTTTGTCTGTTTGTTTATATTGGCAATGAGAAAAACGAAAAAGTTTACATTCACAAAAACTCAGCGTATTTAGACTTGGTATATAGCATTAGGTACCAAGTTTTAATGTGCTTTAAGCAAAAAGTAATGCTGTCTAGGAATAAACTTACAAGTACTCGAATATATTTAACATTATAAATCATTATATATAATTAATTAATCTGACTTAGCAACATGAAAAAATCATGACGAGTAGATAGGTAGGTACGTTTCATTCGTAGACAACTCGGTCAATATGCAGTCATCTTGTGCAACAGTAGAATCCTGCGGGAAATGGACAATGTAACCGCCAGACAAAAATTTAAATAAAATTATAGGCACACACAATTCACAGATAACGTGTATTTCAACATTTAAAACATCCTATTAATATTATAAACGCGAAAGTTTGTAAGAATGTGTGTATGGATGTATGTTTGTTACTCATTTACGCAAAAACTACAGAATGGATTTTGATGAAACTTTACAATAATATAGCTCATACATCAGAATAACACATAGACTACTTTCTATCCTAGAAAAATGTACGATTCCTGTGGGATAGATTTGTTTTTGTGTTTCTGCTAATAATTTATAGTTATAACTAAAGGTAGAGAGCCGTCCGAATTAGACAATTTTGAAATTCACTCAAGTTTTTCAAATTCTTTATATCAATAAGAATTTAATATTTACAGAGCTATAAGGAAGTAGAGTCTATATACAGCAGATCATAAACATACTTAGGTATAGTATATGAGGCCACGCCCTCGTCGCGTCTAAATCAATACATCGCGCTAAGAATATTGTCAGATATATACCTACACTGTCGTGTCAATATATATTAGACGTCGGTAATGACAGAACAAGGCCTTGTGATTTTATAATGAATATTGTTATAACTAAATACTTGCTCTTCTGATAATTCAAAAATTAATAGATGCAGTAAAAATAAAGTTTTTAATCAAATATAGTAGATAGTTATTTGGGTTTTCTCGATAGATTTTTTTATTTATGTTAGTATTAAAAGATATTTTAAGCATGATGACAGCAGAAATGGTGACTTCATGTTGTTTATAAAAAACCTGCTTAGTAAAAGAATGTAACGTAAAAGGCAATTTGTATTAAAATAATAGTTTTTATAAGAACATTTATTCTTCGTAAAAAGAAAAAAAGTAGCACATCTTTAATTAACGAGATAAAAATAAAAAAGACAACACTAGTTTACTCAATTATATTTGTGAAATGAAAATTTGTATCTACAAATTGTACCTATATCGATACAATAACGAATAGCTGTAATTTTTCGCATAGAATTTGCCTTATATATAGAAGAGTGTCATATACTTGTATCCCGTTGTACCTATAATATTACAAAAAAACAAGAAAATTTGAATTTTAAATGATCCTTTATATCCTCTAGTATAATCCTTAGAATTTTTCTGAACAAATAATAGTATTAACTTAAGATATCTAGTAATTCAATAAAGCTTAAGAATCGATTGCAACTAGCGAAGTTCAAGTTCGTTCACATTCAACGGCAGTTAATATGCCAGTCGGCGATCATACGACGCCGTCCGAACCCACGTGATTCCTATTGACTACAGATGATATATAATTTACTAGGAAAATATTATAATTTTAGTCAAATCTTGTTTACTTATCATTTTTATATGTACCTATTTACATAAATAATATATAAAGTATCATTTAGAAGTATTTATGTATTAGGTAATGTAGAGTATCTTTTATATATTTATATAGAACACATAATATGTAAGCTTAGTTTATAAATAGTAACAACGATAAGAATTTATTAGTATTTATATTAAAAAAAAACGATTATAAGTTATTAGTAAAATATTTTGTTTTAAAAACTTTTTAAATATTAAAAAATTTATAAGGTATTTTTGTAACATGGATCACAAAAATATAGTTGTTTAATTTAAATTCAAAAACTCTATCCATCCTATAACTATTGGATATCTCAGCTACCCGTCTCTATAAGAACTGAAAAAATCCTAAACAAACAAATACAAATGCCCGATTTCACCAACAACCCATAAGCTACCACCTACGTATGGGATCCCTAGCTTAAAATTCCCCTAAACTAGCCCCTAAATTAAATTTCGTTTCACCATCGTGTTTAAGCCCATATTTTGAGCACCTAAATTTAGGGGGCCTTTTAATATTTAGGTGACCCCTAACTACCGGTGAAACAGAAACTGTCCCCTAACAGCCCCCTAACCGTGCTTAGGGGATCCCTTAAACTTAGATGACGTTGGTGAAATCGGGCAAAAGTCTTCTATTAAATAATATATTTTTAAGGATATCAACATAAAATCATAATCTATTAGAATTGAATTAAAGCATTGCAATGCAAAACCGTGTTATCCATGGTCCTGTTAGTCAAGCCGGACGTTTACGCGCTTGCGGCTTCCGCCCGCTACCCAGCAATTTAGTTTGATCTGTAAAATCGTATGATATTACAGTTAGGTTATCGTACTAAGTATTGGTTATGGAGAATAGGTGTTTAGATTATACCGATATAAAGCTAATATAGTTACTGCTAGATTTAGTACTTACGGTTTTCTATAATGATAATTATTACTATGCCTACTTTTATAAGTTTAATGCCCGATTTCACCAACTACCCATAAGCACCTACGTATGGGATCCCTAGCTTAAAAGTCCCCTAAACTAGCCCCTAAATTAAATTTCGTTTTACGATCGTCTTGAAGCCCATATTTCGAGGACCTAAATTTAGGGGGCCTTTTAATATTTAGGTGACCCCTAACTGTCGGTGAAACAGAAAATGTCCCCTAAAAGCCCCCTAACCATGCTTAGGGGATCCCTTAAACTTAGGTGACGTGGTGAAATCGGGCATAAGTGATTTAAACGCTTACAGGATTTGGTTGGATTATTCAATTACATTCAAACAATCCTTTTCAAAATTTGGATTATCTAAATTAGGAAAATAAAATGAAGCAAAATACAGTTTATTAATTAAAAATATAGATTATAAATAAGTGTTTATTATAAAAAAATAGATAATATAAGCCTGTTAAATATTATATGTACATATTATGTAGTGTAACTTACATGTGAAACATGTACAATCTTTTTGGTCACATAAAAGCTTTTATATATATATTAATAATTATGTATAATACATTGAAGTTCCATCAATTACCTATACGTTGTTTATAAAGAAATAAAACCTTAAAAACGTGTGTACGCTCAAGCATGTTACGTTTAGAGTTTTTTATTTTATTCAAGTTTAAATGTAACCTTTATAGCTAGCAGCTACAAGTCTATTCCGTTGAGTAAAAATCTTTGAAATCAAATTTCCATCGGCAAAAATATTCGGTAGCGCACAAAACAAGCCAAAAGTACTTCCCTTTTTTTAAGTCAGTTAATAATTGATATTGATACTAGACAAAATATCTATAGAAAAACTAAAAAAATGACAACCATTCTTGAAATACTTTCTTAGATTTACGCGAATATTTGACATTAGAATTAAATAACTATTATAACATATTCAATTATAAAACTAATTAAAATTCTAAAAATGTTTAAAATTAAAAAAAATATTGTAAGGTACTTTGATGCCATTTTTCAATTTTTTGAATTCATTTTGTTATTTGTGG